ACTCGTAACGAAAGGGGAGGGTGTTGGCCTTTGGTGTTGGTTCACTTCTCTTTGGCTAAGTTGAAGAGAAGGTCCCTTCCGATTTTCGGATGCACCAGAAAGAAGTTGGGAAATGGCCGCGATTACCCCAAATCGGATCAGGAAAACCAAGAGGTTCTTTCCCACTTCATCAGGTTGCCAGAGGCTGAAGCCAAAGCTCCCCAAGCAAAGGGATCCCTCCGAGCAAAGCCATAGAACTTGGCACGTCCGATCAACGAGAGTTCAGTCTTTGTGCTTTAGAAGGCTCTTGGCTCTTTGGGGTTTCCAAGCTGCAAGGTTTCAAACACCTGTCCGACGGGCCCGTTAAGGCTCCAAGCTCGGCTTTTTCACACCCGCGGACGGGGACCCACTTTTTCCCGCGGAACAGCAGACCGCCCTGGGGAACGAGCCTTCCAGCGGAGGCGTCGTTTGAAGTGGTTGGAGCGGCAGGAGGCGGGCTTAAACAAGGCGCCCAACGTGGCTCGGCGAGCTGAAGCTGGTTGGGCAGGTTTGGGCTATCGGGGCACATGTTCTGAATCGGAGCAGATGCAGACTTTTCTGGCTTGAATGATGATTCAGATTCACAAAAGTAGTTCGTTGACCCTGTGATGCCCACGTTTCTAGTAATGATTAGTCAATTTGCTTTCAATGCCAATCTTGGGACAATGGAAATGCAGTCAGTGTTGCCTGGGAACTCGAGGGCAGAGGGCATGCCCTTCCAAGGACAAGCACCACAACAAGATCGAGTTCTACGGAAAGCATCCGGACCAGCAGAAGGTCTGGCCCACCAACAAGGGGAGTCTTCACATCAGATGGCCTAGCCCGTACCACTTACACTGAGACGAATCCGTTTCACACCGCTTGATTGGAGAAAAATGCCGGCGCAGGTGGAATGTGCGAGGTTCCATGTCTGGTGGAAGGTCTTTTGATTCGATGTTCAAGTTGTGACAAAGAGCCTTCTTCACATGATCCGAGCTGAACTTGTTGAGATTCGCGCTGATTGCTCCATGTTCAGTGCTGTCCACACCCTGACCGAATCCAGAAGAAGTTTGTCAGCCTCACCCAGGGGTGAGATTCTTTCATACCAGCCTCCCAATTCGATGAGGATCATGCCTTTTTGTCATGCCAGTAACGGTCCCATAGATCTTCTGGAGAATGGTGCAGGTGCTCGGCTCAAAGCATTTCCGGTGCTAAGACATTCTTAGGACCACTTGCGTGATGACCAGTTGGGGAATGATGGGTCGGATCTTTGTGAAACCCTTGGGGCAGACACACGGCCATAACGCCAAGCTGTACATCAACTTCTATTCGATTTTTGCACTTTTCCGATATTTTTTTTGCACTTGGTTGACTGTGCTGATGTGCTCATTATTTTTGTGTTTGTGTTTGTGAGACTTTCCTTTCAAGACGGGGGGTTGAGAATTTGGGATCAGCTAGCAGCAAGACATGCAAGCAACACGGGTGCCCACACACATCAGAACCCAACAGTTGTAGGTGCCTATCAGAAACGGACTTGCGATCCGTGTAGTCCTCGAGGGCGGACGTGAGATCGTTGTACTGCTGTTCCGAAGAAGCAGGGGCTGTAGGCTGGAAACAGTTGACGACCAGTACGGTTCCGGCCTGGTTTTGCAACTAGATAAGAACATGACGCGCTTAGATTGTGAACATCAAAAACCATTATTTGAGGGATCAATCTGCAACATCAACAATTTGCCTGCGTCAGTAATATCAAACTATGGTTTGGTGCCCCTTTTCCTGAAGCACTTTTTGTGGAGAAAATCTGCCAAAGTCATTGCAGCAGGTTTAGAAGTCTTAAACCGAAAGTCTCAAATGAGAAAAAATGCAAAAGCATAGAAGTCATCTAGGCCACGGCCCAATGGATGGCCATCCCCTATTAACAATTAGAAGCGTATTTCAAACGCATAAACGACAAGCAATGAATGGCGCCAATGCCTGAGGTCGATGCTGCTAGAAGTATCATTAAAGAGGATACGTCTGATTTTTGGCCAACATGTTCCGTGGCAAAACTCCTAGTGTGAGGACACTTACTCTACTGTCGACGATACATTCAACCTTGCAGTCGCCAAACACAGGTAAATCTGTGACCATCCGAATCCGATTGGGGGGGGCTGAAGCCTGGGCTGAAGGGAATTTTAAACCGGATCATTCAGGATTTGGAATTCTTCTTGGAGTCCATTGTTTCAGGGCGAATCAGATCGAATTTCAGCTCTTTCACCTTTTGCCAGTGTTTTTTTGCCTGATGCCACATAGTTTTCAAGATTCCGCAAACGGAGTTCGTTTCAACACTTGATTCATGCTCTACCCAGAATTAGATATTGCGACAGAATCAGACTCCCACTGAAAGCAGCGATCATGAAATGCAAGCGTTCAGCACTGTGAGGCTCCAAATTCTCATCACGGGCATAACAAGGATTTGGCCTTGAACAGTCTCTCTTCATTGTTAGGGTCAAGACCTCTACAAAAGACTTTAAACATGTGGAATTTCCGGAATGCACGTTGCCCTCATGAAGGTCTCATACCTGTTTAGACAAAGATGGCAAGATCGCATCAAAGCCAAGAAACGGAGGCTTGCACATCATGGTTCAGCCACAGCATGACACCCTTGATCTTTTGACAGTCATGATTTGGCATATGACCGAATCGGTTCTGGACCTAAGACCCTGGCCCCCCCGTACGCCCCCGTACGCCCCGCACGACCTTGGTGGCCATCTCTCCCTATCCGCGACGCGACGCCATGAGCCCAGAACCGAGCGAGGGAGGTCAAAGCACCTCCCAACGAGCTCTGGCTCGAGCAGCGACCACGAAAGCATGGCTGGAGGTGGCGAGCGGTAAGGAATGGGACAAACCGGCTGCGGAAACCGCTGTGGAAACCATGGGTCTCCATGGGTTGCCGTTGTTTTGTTGATGTTGTTTGCTTAGATTTTTTACTTTTTTTCCCCAAGCCTATGGATGGTGAGTGTCAGGGTGTCAAGTTTGACTTCGAGTGGTGGGACATCAGCGACATCAAGTGCCTTCTTGATCTGCTTGACGGGGAAGTGAGTGAGTTCGGGAGTACGTAATCCTACAGGAAGATTCACCCCACTTAATCCGTGATGTGCACGTAGCAATCCTGTTAAGACAAGATTTTAGAGGTGTTTTGTTCATGAAAAACATGGTATGCTCATTGGTTCACCATGGGGATTTGCACCACCACCGCCAGGTTCTTCCGTTCCCTCGTCCTTCGGTCGCGAGGCGCACGACGTGGGTCCGGGCTCGCCGGTGGCACTGGTCACGGACGAGCGGTTGCTGCTGCATGCGGGGCCGAGCAACCATCCGGAGCGGCCTGCGAGGTTGGCAGAGATCCTGAAGCAATTGGAGGTGAGGGCGGGGCTGGACGTGGTGTGGATGTGTCAGCTGGATGGCAGCTTAAAGGCCATCGTTTTTTTTCCGGCGGGTACAAGAAACTTCTAAAAGAAGGATATCCTAAATGTTGAGACAATGGTGGACGTGATCTGATTTCGACCACCGGAGACCACCCTGGTTTCAGGAGTGTTGATTGTAGATGATAAGGGTCTGTAGGTGACTGTGGGTGGGTTGGTCATCAAGTGAGTTCGATGTATCATAATCGGACTTGATGGGATTTGATGGGTTTGGTGAGCAGTGCAGCAGTGAATGACCCATAGAGAAATGAAGATTCTTGTACCTTTGCAGGCATTCTGGAGGTCTGTTTTGCTTCTTGTCACCCTGGCCCTGACCCGTGGTTGTGGGGCAGAGAACCAAACATTGAACAAGTTGTTTGCCCGTCAGATGTCCGTGCCAAGAGCTTGCCCTTAGGACCTTAGGAGGGACACCTGTTTGGGGCATGAACATCATCCAATATGGGTGTGTTTTGGAACAGCAAGGCCCCTTTAAGGAGCCCATACCTTGATGAATTGAGGAGGCATGCGTCCCTGTTTGGTTTCCACGCCCCCTACGCACGCATCCAACGAATGTTCTGCGGCCTTCAGATTTCTGGGCTGTCAGCGGCCTGTGTGCAGCTGAGCTCGAGAGAGGCCACGCAGGAGGAACTGCTGAGAGTGCACAGTCAAGAACATATTGATCAGGTGGGATTTGACGGGGAAGGGCCTAAGGGGTAGGGGTGGTCGTTTCAAGGCAACCTGCCCGGATGGGACATCAACATGGAAGCAGCAATAGTTGACACCAGTAACAAGTGCATCGCTACTCGTCACAGGGGCATCAGCTACGAACGTAGTAGCAAGAAGCTACGAACGTAGTGATGCTCGAACGTAACGAGTTGTTTGGACCGATCCTCCAGAGGTTCAGACGGTTGTCGAGCGCTCAGACGAACGTGCAGGTCTTCAACTCGGCATCGAGTAAGAAGAAAGGCAAGGCCTATGGCACGCAGCTCGCCTCAAAAGTGGCTCCGGAAAAGGGAGTTTCCGGGATCTCAGTGACTTCTCTCTCCAAGGAGCAACTGGACGGTGTACTTTTTTCTCCAAATGGCTCAGTCCAGGCCCTTTGGCCCCGACACCTACGCCAATGACGAGACGCCGCTGTGCGCCTCCTTATCCACCGGGTGCCTCCTGTCGCTGGTGGACAAATGCCTTGAGAAAGGCGATGGCCCGCGATGTGGCTTTGCGGCCATCCGGCCACCAGGAGGGATCCGCTGACAACGGCCAAGCTAATAACGCGCTTCTAGAAAAAAAGGAACACACAAATATCACACGTGCTTCTTGTAAAATACGTTGTTCTTAGGTTTTGAATGAAAAGCAACACCAGGACTTTCCATCTTCATTTCAGCCTTCCACTGACCGCCGATTCCGGGTTCCGATCGGATCCTTACTAGAGTGTATAAGCACAGCCAGCCACTTCTCTTTGTTTAGAACATGATTGTCAGCTAGTAACTGCTGTCTTTGTTTTGGGAGGTGCAGTAAGTGACTCTGCAGTTGGCCATCATCATGGACCTGCTTCAATTTTTGGTCTCATAAGCTCAGCCATGCAACATGTCCATGCTCTTTGTGCAGGCCACCATGCCACGGTGGACAAGGCCTCTGGCTTCTGTATGTTCAACAATGTGGCCGTGGCTGTGCGCCAAGCGCAACAGGTGCACGGGCTGAAACGTGTGGCCGTAGTGGACTGGGACGTGCACCATGGGAATGGCACCAACGACATCTTTGAGAAGGATGAGTCGGTGCTCTTCTTTAGCCTGCATCGCTATGCGACCCGGTCTCCATTGTCGGCAGACAGCACAGCGTGAGGGTCTCGGTGGTGAACCCTTTGTCCACTGGTTAGACAGGGCTACTCTTTGGAAGGGACCTTATCATCTTTTTGCATGGTTTTGCAGTTGCAGGTAGGTAGAATGTAAAGTTTACAAGGACGTTTGCCAAACCTTCGTGCATCACTGGCATCATGATGTTTCTTAATTGATGACAGCTTCTTTCCAACTTGCTTAAGGATGCAACATCTTTCGACATGAGATTCGACATGAGATTCATATCAGGCCTTCAATAAGGGAGACCCCAAACTTGGTGATCTGAAACACCTACAAACACTTGCTACTAGGAACAAGAAGCTACTAGTAGCTTCTGGCATCGCTACGACCTGCGCGAAGCTTCCCCGCGGGGGCCAAGAGCGCCCGAGGATAGTTACTTCTTCCCTGGCACCGGCTTCGTCGAGGACGTGGGCAAGGCAGAGGGACGGGGATACAACGTCAACTGCCCGCTGGACAAAGGCTTCGGCGACTTGGACGTGGCGCATGTGATGCGATCCTTGGCAGAGTGGCGCATGTGGTGCATGTGGTAACATTTTGCCGCAGAGATATGGTTCAATGAGTTCAATTGTTAATGTATAGAGATGTATACAGTATATAGACTCTTGATTCCTCTTCACCCCCCAATATGAAGAGGCTTGTTCACTCGGATTTAATTAATCTAGAGTCTACATGGATCTACTTTTTCTGTGAGGATACTTGATCTGCCCGCTGATGGAGAAGTTCGAGCCGGAGGCCATTTTCATCTCCGCCGGCTTCGACGCGGTGCCTGGGATCCGGCAAAAAGGTGGGAAGAGGTCGGACGGGCCGGATGGGCCAGCTATCTCCAACGGAGCGAGTGGAGATACTTAGCCAGGTGTGGAGCATTCGTTTATTGAAATCCCTGTTCTGGGTGGTTCTGTGTGACCCGTAAGGTGGAAGGAAAGGGTGAGTTCATGCTCGCAGGGATGCCGAATCAGTCACTGAACACACACTAGTCACCGAATCAGTGCACCGGTGCCGAGTCACCGGTCGAGTCACCCAGGTGCGCGGCGACCCCTTGGGCGAATGCCGGGTGTCTCCGGAAGGCTTCGGCTGGTGCGGGCCCCCGACAGCTTACTCGGGTTCGATGGGTTCCTTGTGACTTAACTCGCGATGGCCTCCCAAAATGGCCTGGAACATGTTTTTTCACCGAGCTGATCGAGTTCTTGCTACTATGATGTACGAAAATTGGAAGAACATGGTTGTCTACAAGATGTTTCAACAGCCATGAAACTCACGCGTTTTGCTCTTTTGGGCATTGATCCCTGGGCTTTTGTCTTGGTTGGAGGGTCCTGGCAAGACATGGCATCCAGCTTTTGGCGCCATCCACGCCACATGACTTCTGACGCCACGCTGGACGAGGACCCTTGGATTTCGGAGGTCAGAAGTGTCAGAGTGGTCAGAGATTCGAAGGTCCCTCTGCCCTTCGGTGGGTGTGACACACCGGGTGTGACCGTAGAATGCTCCCCAAACGGAGCGATCTAAACGCTGTGGAATTCATTCTGGTTGGTGCCAAACTGTGAGTTGATGGTGACCGTCAAGTCGAAGCAACAGTTCTAGTGGCCCAGGCTCACACGGGGCCTCTACCGCCTTGCAAAGCACTACTGCGAGGAGGGGGCGATCAGCGAGTTGGTGTGGAGCATGGTGACTAAGTCTACTTGAATGGGAGTGATTTTTTCTACTTGTTGTGGCTGATCCTGGCTGTGATTCTTTTGGTGGCGGTGAGCGCATGTCTGATATCGACTGCCGATATCGCCAGGGTCGGCTCTTCCTCGCCCTGGAGGGTGGATACAGCCCGGACCTCATCGCGTGTGGGGCCCAGAACCACAGTGAGTGGATGGGAGGGTGGTGGACATGTTTGAACATCTTCCACACCAAGCTCTTGGAGAAGATCCCACAGTTTCTTTTTGGGCCGATTCACCACCAAGAATAGTTTTGAAGGGGGGTGCAAAGTTTGTACTCGTTCAAGTTTTGCCTGAGGGTTTTGGTTGTTGGCGACTTCTTCACCGGGTGGTGAGAAGGACGTTTTCAAAAGGATGAATTTGCCAACACTTTCCAAAAGGATGTTTTTGCAGACCAGACAAAGGCATGACAAGGCCCCCACATGCTTGAAGAGCCACCTAAGGGTGCCACTTGCAACCTGAGGCAATGCACCGTGGAGTGGGGGTGGCCCAGCAGGGAGGCACCGATGTCTTCGAATCGACTGAAGGAGGATGCCTCCATGCAATTGGATGTCTCCACCAGAGCCAAGCGATGGCCTCCAACCTAATAGCGGTTGAAGTCGACTTCATCCACAGCCTAAGGGCATGGAACCTCGTGAAAAGGACCCCTCGAGGAAAAGCAGAGAGCTCGCATCGCTGGAGCTTTGCCGCCCCGAGGTGTGTGCGCACGCTGTTGGCGGAAGTGCATGGCCTGGCAGGACAGCGAAACGGTGTTGGGAAGAGAATTCTGGAGCATTTTGGAGACCTTTACTTCGTTTTTGATACTGTTTCCAATTAGTGTTGCTTCAGGTAGTTGTACAGGTGTGGTTTGCTGTTTCTGGCAGTTTCAACTCTTTACCCGCACCCTCTTTTGGTCGACCAGTCGCTCACAGCGACTACTCCTTCGATTTCATCCTAACTATCAAAGACCAAGTAGACTTAGTAGACTACTCCTCCTTCGACTACTCCTAACTATTTCATCCTAACTACTCCTTCGACTACTGCACGTGGTGGTCCTTAAAGGGTTTTCAAGTCGACCAAATCGACAAGTCGAGTAGAGCGTGGGCTTCTCTAAGCGCTTCTCCTGATCCGCTCCGTTTCCGGTCCTTTTCTGATCAGATCCGGGCCGAGAACCATCAGTTCGGTTGATCCATGCGGATTACCTATGGAGACGTTTGAAGACGGTGTGTTCGACTTCTGGCAGGGCGAAACAAACACGGGACCCCGCGTGGTGCTTTGTTTGAAGTTCGAAAGAGATCGATGACTCCGGCTCGTCTGCGGACATGTTGGATGAGGTGTCTTTCCTTCTCTTTTTTTTCCACCACCAGGGTTTTCCTGTTGGGGTTTTCGGAAAAAACTCCGCACACCATGAAGGGGTCCATCCTGGTATACATGTAATTATATGTATACATTAAAAAGAGCTACTAGGGGCTCCTGGCATCGCTACTACTGTAGGAGCAAGGACGCTACGAATGGGGCTCCTGGCCATACTACTAGGAGCAAGAAGCTACTAGGAAAAAAGGGCATCGCTACTACTACTACTACTACTCCTGCTGCTACTACTACTACTACTACTACCACTACTACCACCACTACTACTACTACTCCTACTCCTACTCCTACTCCTGCTACTCCTGCTTCTACTACTCCTCCTGCTACTCCTACTACTACTCCTGCTACTACTACTACTCCTACTACTCCTGCTACTACTACTACTACTTCTACTACTTCTACTACTCCTACTACTCTACTACTCTACTACTCTACTACTCTACTACTACACTACTACTACTACTACCACCACTACTACTACTACTCCTACTACTCCTACTCCTACTCCTACTCCTGCTACTCCTGCTTCTACTACTCCTCCACTCCTGCTACTCCTGCTTCTACTCCTCCTCCTGCTACTCCTCCTGCTACTCCTGCTACTACTACTACTACTACTACTCCTGCTACTACTACTACTACTTCTACTACTACTACTACTACTTCTGCTACTTCTGCTACTTCTACTACTTCTACTACTTCTACTACTCTACTACTCTACTACTCTACTACCTACTACTGTACTACTCTACTACTCTACTACTCTACTACTCTACTACTACTACTACTAC